TGATTCAGTACATCGCCGATCAGACAGAATTTCAGCTTGACACCTCCACAGATATCGATTTTGTTACCAGAGTAGCTCCAAAAACTAAGGATGATAATAATAAACAAATAAAGCCAATTGTAGTTAAATTCCTGGCACGCTATAAGAAGGATGACTTTTTGTCCCATTTAAGAAAACTTAAATTGAAGGCCTGTGATATTGGATTTACGGGTAACAATACCAATATTTATTTCAATGATCACCTCACAGGTAGCAATAAGGAAATATTGAAAAAAACTAAAACTTTGGCCAAAGAAAAGAATTATAAGTACGTATGGGTGAAGAACTGCGCCATTATGGCTAGACATTCGGCTACTAGTCCAATTATAATTGTTTCTTGTGTCAGAGATTTAAAGAAGATAAAATAAGAATTACCTCGCTGTTTGTGTTGTTTATTAATTTGTTCACTAAATTATTATTTATCAAATTATTTTTAAACTGTATTTTGTTTACTATCGCGGATGATCTTGCTCTTCTATATTATACTTTGACTGTATTCATATTGACTTATTTTTCGGGAACACTGAATCTTATTGTATATTTGTCGATTAGCGGGGGTATCTGGTCTCTCGAGTTGCGCTTAGGTTTTCTGTTTTATATCAGCGTTAATTCAATGTTGTTAATTTTAATTTTCTCTATTTTAAATGGCTTATAACAATAATCTCATGATCTATTATCAGAGCGTACGCGGTCTTCGTACCAAGACGAACACTTTTATTCGAAACTTAATGACTAACAATTATGACATAATATGCTTAACAGAAACTTGGCTCTTGCCTGGAATTTTTGATGCTGAGCTTTTTGATGTTAGGTATAGTGTATATAGGTGTGATCGTGATTATGCATCTCGAGGGGATCGTGCTGGGGGTGGGGTACTGGTTGCGATGCACCAACGGATTTCTGTGACTGGATTTTCCACTATTTCAGTGACAAACTGGGTGGCGGACGCTTTGTATGTTTCGATTTTTATTAACAGGGATGCGTTACTTCATGTTTATTGCGGTTACTTTCCCCATTGCCATTTACAGCTTGAGGCAATGGATACTTTTTTTGAAGCAGTCTCTGATCGAATGGTGGCACGGTCATGTGATAGGTTCTTGGTTGTAGGTGATTTTAATGTGTCACATGCTCAATGGGCACTATCAGCCAGTGATGGGTGTTTAGGACTCATTGATAGCAACTGTAATGACAAACTTATACAGTCGGTCTGCAATTTCTTGAACTTTACTGACTTAAAGCAGTACAATAACATTTTTAATACCAATAATCGATTACTAGATTTAGTTTTTTGTAGTTCAGTCTGTAAAGTGAGTCGATATTTGGAGCCACTTGTGCCTGAGGATGGTCATCATCCTGCATTGCACTGTGACTTCCGGATAACAAATTTTCTTGAATGATGTGCAATGCACGGAGGGTAGTGATGTGTGCTACTTATTTAGTACATATTTTCAGTCTGTATTTAAGCCTAACCAAGGGCAGAATATTCCATCTCATACTTCAACAGGTAGTTGTAGTAGTATCTCAATGGGCTCTGTTGACATCCGTAAATCCTTAGTTGAAAGACTTTTAAAAACTCTTGATGTCACAAAGGGTTATGGACCAGATGGTGTACCAGCTGTATTTCTAAAAAAAATGCTGGAAATCTCTCTCTGGCCCCTTAACCTTTCTTTTTCGTTTATCTTTATGTAGTGGTTCTTTTCCTGTCGATTGGAAGCGGTCTTATATTGTACATGTACATAAATCCGGTGACAGGCATAATGTTCAAAACTATAGAGGTATTTCCAAAATTAGTATAATCCCGAAGTTATTCAAAAAGTGTGTTTATGATATAATTTATCCCTTACTACGTCCTTTTATTATTGAACAGCAGCACGGCTTTGTAAGTAAAAAATCTACTGAAACTAATCTTTGTGAGTTTGTGCATAAAGTAGCTGCTTCAATGGATCAATCCTACCAGGTAGATGCTGTGTATACCGATTATTCCAAAGCATTTGACAAAATTCCACATGATCTATTAATTATGAAACTTGGCGAAATCGGTATACATGGTGATCTGCTTCGGTGGCTGGAATCTTATCTTAGAGAGCGCAGTCAAGCCGTCGTTATTAAGGGCTTTTGCTCATCTTTCGTCCCTGTTACATCTGGTGTTCCACAGGGTTCGCACCTTGGTCCCTTATTTTTTAATTTATTTATCAATGACATCAACTCACTGTTCAATCATTCGTGTTTCATACTTTACGCGGATGACATGAAAATATATAAAACTATTAAAAGTTATTCTGACTGTTTATTACTACAATAAGATTTAAATAATTTGGTTACTTATTGCAATAATAATTGCTTATATCTGAACGTAAGTAAATGTTGTGTTATAAGTTTTACTAGAAAGAAAAAATCAAAAATATTATATAATTATCAACTAACTGATCAGTCCTTGAATCGTGTTACTTTAGTTAGGGACCTGGGACATTGAAAATATTACTTCTAAAGCTTATCGAATGTTAGGTTTTGTTCTAAGGGTTAGCAAAGACTTTAAAAGATGTTCCACTTTAATTCTATTATTTAACTCCTTAGTTAGATCTATTTTGGAATACGCATCGATTATTTGGAATCCTCAATATAAATATTTTATTGACATGATAGAGAGAATACATAAAAAGTTTGTTAAACACATTTCATTTAGGTGTTCGCATTGTAAAGTAAACAATGAAACGATTCTCAAAGATAGTTTGAGTAATCGTCGCTGCGTGAGGGATCAGATCTTCCTGTTTAAAATCTTAAATAATATGGTTGATTCTCCTTTTCTTTTGAGTAACATTCGATTTAAGTGTTCCCGTATAAACTCAAGGTCTAACAGCTTGTTTAGTGTTCCTTTTCTTAGGACAAAATATACTTCTAATACATTTTTGTACCGAGCCTGTGATTCGTATAATAATAAATTTAATTTTATTGATATGTTTAAAAATGGAATTATTGAATACAAAAAACTTTTAAATGATGTAATTGAATGAATGAACTGTTATTATTAAAATTTATTTATTTGTCAATTTGATTTGTGTAAACTTCTCTGTTACTTTGTTTTTGTTTGTTTTTATTTAATTTAACTTTATATGATTTTTTATTAAATACACAGCTGCTCATAACTGTACTAATTGTTAGTGGAAACTTTGTTGATGTACGTTAATCTATATTTAATTTATCTAAATGTAATAAAATATTGTATGTTTCCCAAATGAAAATAAAATAAAAATAAAAAAAAGTAATAAATACATTGGATCCAATAAAAGAATTATAATAAATCGACACTAGATAATTTTATCTAAAATAATTCGGATGCAATGAAAAAGAGGTTAAACGATGAAATGTGATTGAAAAAAATATGCTTGTTACAATACAATAATCATGACTGTCATTAAAAATATTCAACTTTTATTTTTAATAATAAAAGTTAGTTGGAAATTATGATTTGATAATGAAATTTATTATCATTGAATTGAATTAGCTATGAAAATTGTTGCAGAAATGTTCAATCAGCTGTTGTTTATAAAAATCTCTTCCTGTTGATGTAGGAGTCATTTAGTGATGATAAACTTTTTTTCTATATACTAAAGAGTAAATAATAATATTATTATTTAATAAAAAAAAATAGAGGTAAGCAGTGTTTAATAAAAATACATCATTTTCATAGCTTTTTTTTATCAGACATTGATTATTAAAATAATTAATTATTATTTTTAATCCCAGTATTCCCTATTATTTCCCAAGTTAAAAGAATTTATGACAGTTTAGGTCTTTGACCAGGTTCCCAAATCATTCTCTTTCTCCTTTTAGTCCTCAAGTGACCGCCACACCTGCTGCTATTTGGCTGGTGACTCTAAAAATAATGAATAAGTTTTGATTTATTGTCCTATAAAGACAAAGATTTACTTTAAAAATTTCTAATCAATTATCACTGCTGTCAATCATCAGCCAAATGTCAATCCTTACCTAAGAAGTTTCTTTTTTTTTATCAGTCTCGAACCAAAACTATACATTCCATAGTCAGTTCTAACTTGACGTCACGTTTGAAAGTGATCCGATGAATTAGTCATCATGAAAGTTATTTAGATGATTAAAATTTAGGGATGATCTGGGGAATCCCGCATGGTGCATTAACTCTTTTCATTGATGATCCAACATCCCAAGCATTATCATCTCAGCAATTTTATTGACCTTTTTATTGTCATTTTGCGCCCTGTCGTGTGAGAAATGCTGCTCAAGCACGTTTTTCACTTGAGTAAATACAAAAATAACGAGGAATGTAAATAGATCGTAGAGAGAACTCTGGCCTTGGATCCATGCCACCTGTTGATGATCTTGAAGTTATAATCACATCCCACAGGTGGTTAGTTTATTTTACTTTGGATTAATTGGCAGCATTAATTCACGTAATAAACTAGGAAAAAAAAGTATCAGTAAATATTAGACACCATTTTCTAGACATTATGTTGGTGTATAAATCGATGAGCTCACGACCTACCGCAACATACGTTGATTCCATGAGTACAAATGGGAAGGAGAAAAGAGTGGAATGATGTAGGAGACTAACTTATCGAGCGGTATCAGGGCGGTAATGGGGTATAATGGACAGCGCGCCATTACCGCATATTTTCTTCATCTTCTTACTTGACTCTTGTGACCAAGATGCTCCTTGCTGGGAGCTTTGGTACTTAGCTCCCGGTGTGCGCATTACTTTTTTCCAGTTTGCCGTGGGTTGTCAAGAATTCCGACGTTGTTTTACCTTTAGCTCTCTTTTCCTTTCCCCTGATTTATCCTCATTAATTATTATAACTACAACCGACAGGTTATTCGCTAATTCATTTTTAGGATTTAGAGTTAATTATTTATTTTTTTAATGCAAACTTGTGGCTTACTTGATATTAATCATTAATTGTTTTCAATAGTTTTCTGTATATTTTCAGGGCTAGGAAGCCTTTTGGTGCTACTCCTTGTGGTTTCAGTTCAAAGTGCTCCGACGTCAATGGCTCTTGACGATCGGAGACTTAGCCAGCCACCTAAATGGGTGAACCCCTGTGGTCTAGCAGCTGAAGATATTGATGGCAGCTTGGATGTCGAACAATTGAAAGATGAACAACTGCTTGCTCAAGTTGTTGTCCAGGCTAAAACGGCTCTAGATCATGCACAACTTTTCTGTGACGATTTTGTAAGTACCTATTCATTTAAACAAACTCTTAAATAAATTCATTCTTACCTTATTCTTGATAAATCATTGCTGGAAACTGCTTTAATGATAACTGATGATCACATCCAGGCAGGATAAATATTACTCCAAAGACTAAAAATGAAAGTAGATTGAATGAGAAAGAGATAATGACAATATATTCATATTGTTAGAAATTATTAACACTTTTACCTCTGACTAAGTATTATTATGAAATCGACATAATTGAAGACAGTACGAGCTTTTGATAACACCCATGTTTAGGTCAGAAATTTCGTAAAAAAAATGTCAGATGACGCGAGATAGTCGCGTGTTAACTAATAGTGGTTTTTATGAGCAATGAGCCAGTTTCTAATTTATTCAGTCCACGTTATATTTATATGCCTCAACCTTAGCCGGTTTCTTTACAAATATTTTTGGCCTATGGGAAATTCCTATTGCCCTGACAACTGTATTTTTTTTTTACCGGAAATCCTGTCAATACTTATTTTTGTTATTGTATAATTCATTTTCAATAGGTTAGAAATATTATAGAATTATTCTCTTTCCCATGTTCTGAGTCTCTCGACGATTAGATCATCATCACTAGTACTCGGACACTCGATTAGAGTTCTCAAAGTCGGCTGTCATGAATAGAAGAAGAACATGGAGAAATGATTTTCAAGAAGAGAATGAAAAATGCGATGAGTCTTGGTTAATTCTTTGGATCATGTTATCACATTCAAGTATGAGCTATGCTTACTTGTGGGTCAGGTGTGGTGGAGATTATTTGGCGTCGTACTGTCTGCATTGGTCTCATGCTAACTCATCATCATCATCATCATCATATTTATTTTCAATTTAATTAGAATAATTCCAATCTAGTGATGTGGTATTTATTACTGTACAGTGAGTAGCCAAGACACTTCATTCAGAAGTACATCAAAGAAATCTAAAAGAGGAATGAAAAAAAGAGATTTAAATAAATCGGAAGCTGCCCCTCTCTCCGAATTACTACTACCGAGCACTGTTACTCTGGCTACATACTAAAGTGCAGACCGGATATACAACGTGTCGGCTCCTCGTGTATACTTAGCTTTGGCACGCGGAGATTCTACGCCGACAATTCTGTATGTCTGCATAAAAATAAATTTGATATATAACCTCGACAAATTATCAAACAGGTTGTCATTAAGGTGTCGGTGTATTTAGTTTACGATGTTACATTAGAGACGGAATGGAGTAGTTGAGATTGAAAAAAAAAAATGGTCAACAAATTTTCAAGAGTTTATAGAATATTAAAAAAAAAGTTAACTAATTGATTTTGACCAAGTTCTCAATTTGTCTCAGAGCCTTTTCTATAGTCTCTTTTTAGCTTACTTCCTGTCTCCATTTTTTTTCCATCATGATTTCGTGATGGGTCGACGAGAAATTTTATGAGGCACAAAATACCTAGGCAGTCATTTTTGTACCACAAATACAGTCGTTAGTGACAATATTCCAGTTTTTTTTTTAGACTTCTCATTGGTCTAGAATAGATTGGATTTTTTTTTATCAGGATAATTACACCTGGTCTTGATAAAAATTCATCAACAGCATCTTTTAGAGCAGGACATAAACATCTTGAAGTACTTAACCTAAAAGAAATGTCAATAATGAATATTTTTGTTGAATTAAAATTGAAATAAATGATCATCAAAGTCTATTGGATTGAAGTAAAAATAATGGTACTTATTTTATTGAAGTAATCCAGAACAAAGCATCAATAAAAATAGTCAAAATGATTTGGAGAGTAGTCGGAATAGTTGAAGATGAAGTAATAAACCATAAAAAGTTGATTTAATTGAGTTTAGTAAAGAATATCGGTCGTAAAATCAATAGTTGTCCTTTATTTATCCTGGACCCAGATTATATTCTCTCAGGGCTCTAGAGATTAGTATTATCGTAAAATAGTGTTTAATTATGTAGAAGTAAGACTTTGGTCATTCAGAAAAGTATTATAAATAATAACCGGTTAACGCGAAAGTGTAGTAGTTATTTCCAAGGTTGTCGTGGTTTAGGTTTACACAAAGTAAAGCGTTAAAGATTTCTACCTTGTTTTACCTTGTACCTAAAAATTTCGTAATTGACTGGGCGGCATAAAGTGAAGCCAATTTAAACATCCAAAGACTTAGTCACAGTTATGCAGAGTGAGCTGACCCTAACATTTTTAGACCACCGTAGGAGCACTCGCAACAAAAAAGGAGGAAAGCCTAAAAGAAATAAAACAGTCAATCAATATATGTATTGATAGAAAATAAAAAGAAACTAGCCTTTTATAATCACTGATTTTATTATTGTTGGTATTTCTAGGTTAAAGGTTTATCAAATATATACTTCAGGGATTGTATTATATTATATTTAATCGCATTATCGCATATAATTGCCACCGTAGGCAGCTCTCACGTTGATTTTTGCCATTCCTGGACAGAGATAAGCTCCCACTCGTCAAATGATCCTCGTGGGCCAGCTGATACACTACTTATACTCATCAACATTCACGTTATACACTACATCACACTCCGGATATCACACATATATCACTCATGCTCACTTTATTATGTGGCGCGTGCCAATAAAACCACATTACCTAGGCCTGCGATTCATTGATTCCTCGTATGAATTTAATAATAAAATTTTGGTACCATTTTTTTGTCATCATCTTGGGTCTTTCTAGGTTGATGGATCATTCTGGTTTTAATTGAATTATCAAATTAAGGCGCCAAGCATTATGAGTGTCGAGTAGTTTAGTCACCGGTTCTACAAGTGTTTTGCGTTTAGTATTTATGACAATGATCATTTCCCCGAATTTATTATGTGTTAGTCAAAAGCCACTGTGACTAATTTTCTTGTCAAGTAGGGAAGCTTGATATAGTTTTTTATAGGGGAATTGTGATAATCATAATAATTCTGATGATTCTATTATTGCTCTTGTGAATTATAACCTATTTAGTAGAGGTTATAATTTATTTCCAGTATTAAAAACTATTTTACCGTTTATATTTGTTTATAATTTGAAGTATTACAGTAGAATTCATGTATTTTCAACCATTTAAGACTGCTCAAGTCATTTATTTTCAACTAGATTTTTTTTTAACTTATTATTAACCTAATTGATATAGGTTATTATTAATAATTCAACTGTATTTATTAATTAATGACTTTCATTTAATAAATAAAATTATTTATGAGTTTAAACAATTGATAATATTGTTTGTTTAGCAGGTTAGGCAATTGTTTAATCAAAAAATTTTAAGATGGCGGCAGCATTGTAACTTCGAAAAAATAAAAATAAATTGTTTATTTTTTTTTAGGTTAACAAAACGTTTCATACTACATTGAACGATGTACATTCAACATGGAAAGATAATCATTACGATTGGCTGCCAGGCGATAAAGACATCCCAAAGCAGCTGGGAGAACAATTAACCAAGGAATATTTAAACAAGCTGGAGGTGCAAATGGTTCGTGCGCTTGTCATCATTTTTTTTTTATCTTTATCATCTTCAATCTCTCACAAATTTTCTCACTGCTTTCTTTCTTTCTCCACCCATTCTTCACTTGTTTCATTGTCATTTATTTTTACAGCTCGATACTGCCCTCTTAAATGCCTACGAGTTTTTGCAGAAATACGCTGTGGGTCTAGAGCAAATAGTCTGGGACCAAGAGGATCATCGACTTGAGTTTCTCAAACAATTTAAAGACACCGAGTACAAACTCCGAACGGTAAGCATTGTCAATTTATTTACTTATTTTTGCTGTTAGAATACTGATGAAATGTTGATAACTCTAAAAAGATCTAGAACTTGATAAACTAAATGAATTATTTCTTGACAGGTTCTATGTGAGCTACAGGTGGCTTTGATGGAACGTGGTGTAACACCACGAGCAGACGTGACTCGGGAAGTCATGACACCTGAATATCGTGCTATGGCATCATCATCAACATACAGAAATCTACGAGACTGGCTGATCTTTCGAGATTACATGAATGGCTTGGAGTATGTAGTGCAAGTCTTTGAACATCTTAAACGTAACCTAGAATCTTGAGGATGGCAAGGCGGTGGTCGGCGTAGGGCTACTCGACGACGAATCATTCGTTTCTCTAGACGTATCCCACGAACTCTTTCCACTTCGTGATGATAGTTGCTAAGCCATTCTAATTATTGAACTCAAAATTTTAAATTCCAAGTATTACATTTTTTTTGGCACTCTTGTGTGGTCATCATCATCATCATCATCATCATCATATGGTTTAGCTACGTCGAATTGTGTTAGTCTCTTGCTGGCTAATCGCCGCTGACTTTTTTATTTTATCGATACAATTACACACTTTTTAGAACATCCTTGGTCGCAATATATGTATATATTTTTTAAAATAATTAGTAACATTAATCTAAATATTTTTAAAGTTGAAAAAAAGCAACGAGTTCATTCATCAAACATAAAACAGTTATTTACTCTTCACAATCTTTACTTTAATTATTAAACTTCCCTAAACTAGTTAGAAATATCAATGAAATTTTTGCGAAATTTAGAAAAACTAAATAATATAAAAGTCAACTTGCCTTTTCTACTCTTAATGTTTGTGTCCGGCACATCGGACAATCTAGCGGTACTCTTCGTAAAATTGCATTGTTCTGGAATGTCCTCAAGCATGATCCGCAGAGAGCTGCATGTCGGCAAGGTATCATTACATGTGTTATGTCGTTATGAAGACATATTACACACTTATGATTACCCGGGTAGTCAATTCTTTCTGGAAAATTTTTAACTTGTATATTAATCTGATTTACATGAAAGTACACCGAAAAACATAATATTATCTTCTACTTTCTCTATGAATATTTTGTGTATTTTCATTGATTTTTATTAACTAATTTTACCTTGCAGCTCGACATGTCCAGTATTTAATGTGAATAACTCTCCATATCTTGTCCTCCATATGTTTTTTTATTATTATTTTTTTCATAGATAAGATATAAAATTTTTCATCTTACCATCGGATAATTCGTGGTAATGTTCAACAATACTAAAGTCTGCGTCCCATGGTGTTTCTTGATATGTATAAATAATGTAGTTTTTTATGTGATGCTGTACATAAAAAAACTACACTATATTAATAATTCGAGAAATATTTCTAACTAGCTGAGGAAAGTTAATAATTAAAGTAAAGATTGTGAAGAGTAAATAACTGTTTTATGATTGATGAATGAACACGTTGCTTTTTTTTAACTTTAAAAATATTTTACTCAATATTAGATTACTGTTATTAATTATTTTAAAAAATATATACATATATTGCGACCAAGGATGTTCTATAATTATAGTTAAGACTTAGAAAATTAAATTGTTGGCATATTGTATAAGAAAGAACTAGATTCTTTCCTTTATATGAATGTCTTTATTTACCACAGAAGCTCAAATATATTAATAATTCGAGAAATATTTTTAACTAGTTGAGGAAAGTTTAATAATTAAAGTAAAGATTGTGAAAAGTTAATATCTGTTTTATGTTTGATAAATAAACTCGTTGCTTTTTTTTAACTTTAAAAATATTTTACATAATATTAGATTATTGTTATTAATTATTTTAAAAAATATATACATATATTGCGACCAAGGATGTCCTACAATCAAAGTTAAGACTTCAAAAATTAAATTGTTGGCATATTGTAAGAAAGAACTAGATTCTTTCCTTTATATGAATGCCTTTATTTACCACAGAAGCTCAAATATATTAATAATTCGAGAAATATTTCTAACTAGTTGAGGAAGTTTAATAAATAAAGTAAAGATTGTGAAAAGTTAATATCTGTTTTATGATTGATAAATAAACTCGTTGCTTTTTTTAACTTTAAAAATATTTTACTCAATATTAGATTAATGTTATTAATTATTTTAAAAAATATATACATATATTGCGACCAAGGATGTTCTATAATCAAAGTTAAGACTTCGAAAATTAAATTGTTGGCATATTGTAAGAAAGAACTAGATTCTTTCCTTTATATGAATGTCTTTATTTACCACAGAAGCTCAAATATATTAATAATTCGAGAAATATTTCTAACTAGTTGAGTAAGTTTAATAAATAAAGTAAAGATTGTGAAAAGTTAATAACTGATTTATGTTTGATAAATAAACTCGTTGCTTTTTTTTAACTTACTTAATATTAGATTAATGTTATTAATTATTTTAAAAAATATATACATATATTGCGACCAAGGATGTTCTATAATTATAGTTAAGACTTCGAAAATTAAATTGTTGGCATATTGTATAAGAAAGAACTAGATTCTTTCCTTTATATGAATGTCTCTATTTACCACAGACGCTCAAATATATTAATAATTCGAGAAATATTTCTAACTAGTTTAGGGAAGTTTAATAATTAAAGTAAAGATTGTGAAGAGTAAATAACTGTTTTATGTTTGATAAATAAACTCGTTGCTTATTTTCTCTTTAAGAATATTGTGTTTTGATTTAGCTTTAAATTAATAATTTCTCATAAGTTGACATTAAAAATTTTCAATCAATGTTCTTTAAACTAAATAAAATATCGACAATAAAACTGCTGTTAGAATACTATTTTCTTACTTTCTTTGGTTCAAAAAATGGGTTTTTCAATAATACTAGTTTGAATCCTCTTGCAACTCTCAAATGTTACAATATATCCCAATAATTAATATCTACTATACCGATAGTACATTTCATAACTTACAGTCAGGTTTCGACACCTTATTTTACCTGCTGCAAATCAAAATCGCCCATCTATTGGTAATGAAAAACATCCCTCATCCTATACGTTAGCAGTGCCTATTGAAGTTATATCTCCTGTCCCAAAAGGACATTACGTAAGTGACCAAGGCAAACGTAAGCGAAAGAAACAGCAAACCTCTTTAGTTTTGACTTCAACTCCAAATATAAAATAAATTAAGGCAAAAAATGAGCCTAAAGCTCCTTCAGAGAAGAAGAGACGAAAGGTTACCAAAACCATATTCCAAGAAGACAGCGAAGAAGAAAATTTGCCAAACTACGCTCAAGATGACGAAGAGGATTGCGCATGCATTTATTGCAACAATCTTTATTCGCGATCAAAACCTGGAGAAGACTGGTTGCGGTGTTTAAAATGTTCACATTGGGCCCACGCTTCTTGCGCGAATGTTTCTAAACGAACCAAGCGGTTCATTTGCGAGCTCTGCCTTTAATTTTATAACTTTTGCCGTGTATGCCATTTTGTCCATAGCATATGGACAAAATGGATTTCGTTGATCTTAGTTAAATTTAAAATTATTATTTTTTCTAGTTTGTTTATCTTTTAAGTATCTATTATAATTCAAAGATATGAAACCTAAGATTACTGGTGTGCAATGTGAATGCGCTAGGAGATACGTACAAAATGACATATACGGACAAAATGACACAGGCATCATATTTCAAATTTTGCCGTTTCTAGTCCGCCAGAGATAACTCCATCACGTGACTCTAGCCGGAAATACGAACCTGTCAAAACGTGAACTCGCGATACAATGGTTGTACCAAAAGAAGAAGTCACCACCTCGATAATATGGATTGTCATGGAGGAAGAGAACGAGTTAGAGACTACTGTAAAAGAATCGAAGGTCATACCAACACCAATGAAATTACGACAGAAAAGCAAATTTATAGACAGAGTCCAATAGTACTACAAAAAAAGCCAGTTTGTCTATGTTGTACTTCCGAAGCTCCTTCTAGAAAAACTGAGAACAAAGAGCTGCAAGATCGACCTACTACAAAGTCTAAAAAAACGTTATGTGAAAAATATCTTCTCTAAAATAACCCCAAAAGAGGTAAAGGGAAATAAGAAGTCAAGTCGTAAATAGGTTATGAAACAAAAGCCTCGATATGAATTACCCATCCGTGAAAGGAGCTCTGAAGAAAGCCGAGAAAAAGAAGCGACCGCAAAACCAGAAAATAACAGAAGATGAGCCTCTCTTTAAACTATCTCCATCATTCAGAACTTTTCTAAAAAAACAAAAATAGACCACGTGACTAAACACAAGTACTTAGTTTTAAGATTTTACTAAAAGTTGTAAATACAAGAAATTTTAATGATAAAGTTGTTATGATAGAGATGTAAACAATTGAACTGTGCTTGATAGTTATAACAGACAAAGTTTGTTATTTCTCCGAACCAATAGCACGCCACACAATATTTTGGGCACGCCACTGATCACAAAATAATTCATTATGCACTACGTAACATCTTACAACTCTAACATAAGTATGTTATTCGTCATCTAATCAGCATTAACAGAAGTCTCACTTAATTAACTTTAAGTTACGCATATAATAGAAATATTGCAGAAAAGGGTACCTACAGGGTTTTACCGTATTAAATAAAGAGTTTTGAATTAATATTATTATTATCCCAATAATCATAAAGTCAACAAGATTTGATAGCACAATTGTCATCTCATTAAGCATTTCTTTAGAAAAATGGCACGTTGAAACGTAAAGGTTTTCTATTTCTGATATAGCCTAATACCTACATTCTGAACTTCACATAAAAATTACTTTCACATTAATAGTGTTTCATTCTTTGTGGGAACCTACAACCCTTTTCACTTTGCTCGACAATGTAATCATTCTACTGTGGAATCTGCGTCGCCCGGGCAAACTTAGGTATTATTCCTTGCCTGCGGATATAATAGTCAAACACAATATGGGTACAAAAGTCAGGTCATAAATAAAAATTCACCTTTCTGATACGACGGATCCTGTATTCAATGGATAAAGGATATTTATTTATTCTCACAATAATTCTTTAGTCCAAAGTACGTATGTGGTGATTTTACAGTGGAAAGTTATCTTTGAAGTATTTAAATTAGCATAACTAAGGAACAATATTAAGTTGTGCTGAATGCACATAATACAGATAATTGCCTCTTGTTTCAATTCCATGACCTTTTAGAGGGAAATACGGGAGCACAGTCGCTGTATAAACTGGTCGTTGGTAAAAAAAAGTAGTAGGCAAGTAGTAGGGATCTTTGCTATCTGAGCTAAGTTCTCATAAATAGGAGAGAAGAGCTATCTTAGATGGCATGTATGGTCCATTAATTTTTAAAAATTAAACTAATAACACTGATATTATGTTATATTACCGCTTTACTATACCGATTCTACTAATATTATAACTGTGAAAGTTTGTGTTTGGATGTTTTTTTTTTACCTAATCACACAAAAACTACTGAACGGTTTTCGATGAAATTTTATAATTTATGACCTTGATTGAGACATAGGATACTTTTTATCCCGGGAAAACGTTAGGTTCCTGTGTGATCCTCATAAAACTAAAATGAACGCAGACAACGATGTGGGCAGCCGCTAGTAATAAATAAAGCTTTGCAATGTCAAAGTAACAAACTCTAACTAAACCTCTGTTACCTAACCAGTATTTCACTATCAAACCTACTACTACCAGCGGTGAAAACCGAAAAACATAAAATACCCCGACACCCCTTTTCGGCATTGTCACGAACGAACGTAAGAACAAATCTCAGCAATTTGCAGCGTTCGAACAAGCCAAAACTCACAAAGTCCATCTCCACCATAAAAGTCACATCTTGGTGAAAAACGAGATAAGTTACAAAAAAAGTTCGCCCGCTTTTATGCCCCGCTACACTCTGACGTGATATTTTATGGTAATTTTTGTTGAATCAACATGAGCATGAATATTTGTATGTAGTAAGACGGAGGTGGTAACGGCGAATTGTAGATATGGGTTTAGGCGAAAAAGCATTTTCATACATTGCGTATTACGAGGCCCTTATTTCACACGTAAAAGTTATTGAGTTTATTATAGACTAGCTACGTTAAGAGCGGACGCGAGCTGAGAGACGTTTGAGAAATAGGTATTTGAAAAAACTAATCACGCATTGGCAAATACCATGCGATAGGGACAATAGTAGTTAACGCTTTAGTGTGCGTAAACAAATGCAAAATTCG